GGCAAGATCATCGATGGGAACTGTAAAGTAGAGGCTCTAATGAGGTTTTAGTGCTTTAACAGTAAGGGAGTCGAGTTTCTAGCCGAGTTCGCCAGGGCAAATTTACGCAGGACTTTTGTGCTTCAACCTACTAGTTAGTCCTGAAACCAACGCCGACTGCGCATGACAGTGGACTGAAATTAGGCAGGGCCACTGCCTAAATAGGCCAACTTCAACCATTTGTCTCAAAAGTGGGCTCAATTCTGTGTGGGTAGTGTATGTACAAGTGCTTGCCTGCGCAGCAATTGTGATTGTTCTGTGACCGTCTGAGGCCATTGAACAGTAGCCTTGACCTGAATTCTACTTTACCAATGCCCTCACTGTCTGATACAACCAACTGGCACCAATGGGATGCTTGCAACATGAAATCTACCTTATCTAGGTGCAATATCTCCGTATTGGCCAAGTATCCCCACACGTTATCACATGCTTTGCTTTGATGAAATATATTTCTTCCTTTCTTTGCAAAACTCAGCTGTAACCTCCTAAGGTTGAATATATTGAATGATAAGGAGAGTAGCATGCTTTTCAGGTCCACACATCTCCTTTAATCAAAATCCAAACCATTTATCTTAGGTTATCCTACAGAAACAGTGAACCGGTGTGCAGCTTGTAATCGTTATCATAAATTACGTACTTATGACGATTTTTATTTCTCCATAAGCATAAATTCATGCAAGTATCGTCTTCCTCACCAAGAATGCGAAGTGAAGGCAAAGTGAGCTAAACAATGGTTTCTGGCGGCTCGTATGAAAGTATACCGCGTTAGAGCGAAAAGTGCTCAGATGCACGCGGTAAAACCCTGATTTAAAGCAAAGGACGTTCTCACCTCCCGGTATGTCACCTCGTCACTCATCCCCTATTATAAATGAAGCAGCGCCCAATGAAAGTAACAGTTAATCTTTTGCATCAGAACAGCCTTTTTCTTCCTTGACTAGGGGAACCGCAGGGGAGATGCTATGCAGTTCGGTAGCACCTTTACAAATGTTGAGGAATAGGACACGAGTATTTCGCTGGGCCCACATAAACCAAAGAAATCACTTGGCCAAATAAAACAACGTGAAACATTCGAGGTACTTACCCACTTTCTGATAATGCTATAGACTACCCTTCTACTGGAAAACAGTAGAAATTACTGCTACTATCAGCCTCATTACCTAGAGAAACAACTCAATAATCCTAACAATGATAAGAAAGCTTGATGCAATGCACGTGGAGCACATTACGATTCCAACTAAGATTGGTGACAAAATTGAGTAGATCTTGAATGCATTTGATACTGAAAGCTCACAGAAAGGTGAACATACACAACTGTGTTAAGGCAATGCCTCAGCCATCAATACAAACAAAATTACTAGATGATTTTCGTTCGTCGTTAAAAAAGTACACGATGTTATCAGAAACCATTTCAATTAGTCTTCACCATGAGGAAACCAAATTAAGTGCTCTGTTGCGAATGTTGGTGACCCGTAGCAGCATGGTGATTGATTAGTGGCGTCATTGCGTGTTGTTCTGGCTCCCGCGCATCTACGCTGATCATACACATCTCCTCCTTTCCTCCCTCCCCATCCAGCCACCTGTGCAATTGCTCACTCACGCACCCGAGTGCGCTACTTGTCTTGCCGCCAAAATACATCGCTTTCTCCTTGCTGACGTTGCACACGCGTCGATTCACGCCTGATCAACCAACGGAAGCTATCGTCGCCGTCTCTACTGTCGGCATTGCACCACCGCTATCACCGACATTTAATGCTCTCCGATGCTATCATTTGTCAGCCCTTTGTCTGGTGACCCTGTGGCTTCGGCTTCTGTTTCGCTTAACAGCTAAAACATCACACCACTAACGCAGAAACTGACCTCCGCAAGTACGCACCGCTTGTGAAACAAAACTGGCTAGTTATTCGTAGTGATGCAATCCATAAGGTATTTAGCGTTATTTGCACGAAGCTCTTCTCAGTTCATTCACTAGGGCATTTTAAAGTTCTGGTTTCAAAAATTTGTTTACGTTGCAAAGCTTTGGCAGATGTGCAATGTAATACTCAACCATCGCTCCGTATTTTGCATTCAAAACAATTATGAAAATCTATTTCTAAAGATGGCATAGTAGAATTTTAATGCATAATCACTATTAGCTAACCTCTGAATTTGCGCTCAATTTACACAGCTTCATTTTGAATGATTCCTCTTCTTTTGCTTAAAAAACTCCCTTTTATTGGTGCTTTTTCGGTTCAAAATAATTTTCCAAACTAGCAGCGGAGTGTGCAATATGTCCATTTAATGCAGGCAATCGTCGAATGATGAAAAAACGAGTAAAACATGTAAAAATATGTAGTTTTTATGATAAAAACTCAAGGATTCTAATGCCCAAATGTGTAAATCAGTATTCCACTAATGATGGGATTCTTTTAGCCTGATTTGATGCAAACTAAAAATAGAAGTAAACGTAAGAATTAATACCTTGAGTACCACTGTGCTCATGACAACCATCCTGTACATTGGTATTGTTTTGGCGTAGAACAGGAGCAACGCCCGCCTGGTGTGAGCATTTAAAGCTTCCATATTTCAAAAAATGGATTTAAGGTAGCCAGATAAGTTAGTGTGGAAGTTTACAAAAAGTAAATTACGTAATAAGGAGAAGCTTTTTAGAGCTTTTGTCATTGTTACAAGCTAGAGATTCTGTTCCATTGAGAGGTAGGCTTGTGAATTCTACTTTTACAAAATGCTCCTTCCCCAGAAGCAAACGACATATTCTCAAATTCCCTCATTTTTACCTCACCTTTATTCCCAAACTACTTATTTCTCGTGAGAAAGTTTAATACCAAGAAGAGTAATAATTACTTGGATAAATATGGGAAGAATACCGAGGATGCGCATGAGGACGTAGCGGATGCATCCCTCCTCCCCATCCTCAAGTGTATATCTTTTCATGTGTCACTTGTTACGTAGAAGATTTGCGCTGTTTTGCAAGAGCGAGATTTTCTCCCAGATGACTAGATAGTTCGGGATATTTCAGAATAAGTTTTTTCTTGCACATTTTTAAGTTGTGCCGTATCTAGTAGCCAGATTCGAACAGGAAATTTAGGGAGGGTAATTGTCCGAAGTACATCGCACACGCGCGCAAAGCAAGAATAACCTTCTGCGGCTGAAGTGGTGCGTAACTTAGGTAGGGTATTGGATGATTGTTTGGAATAACCAAATAAAATTTTGCTTAACTTTGAATTAAACAAAAAAGTAACTTTCGTCACCATTTGGTCAATGAGCGCTTTAAATGGGAAAGGTGAAAGAAGTGGTGGACATACTGATAATCTTTGAAGCTTATTGTCATCTGTTAGTTCATTACAAATAGGCGACGCCTGTATATTTAACGGTTTTCGCTTTGATGTAATTGCAAACCCATTGTTTCATTACTCAAGGTAAAAATTACTAGAATTAAGTGAGAGGTAATCGCGAATTATTTTATTGATAGCTGTAGCAATTCATTGCTGCTATCAAGAAGAGTCTATCTGAATGTGATGCTCAAAATGTAGTGAAAAATCACCAAAATCAAATTATTCATTTCAATTATATTCAGGAGAGAACTGTCTAGGGGTTATGTAGCAAACTGAGTGAGAGGTTTCAGCAGCTTCTGAAGTGGAATTGGAGTCGTAAGGCATAAAATCTCGATTTACATCTATCAGGTTCAACCGATATTTCATGGTACAAGGTTTAGTAATAGCATAAGAATAATGGGTAAGACGATAGAGGAATTTACCAACATCTATTAACGCTTCACAATGCATTAAAAATCGCATTAAATTTGTACCCAGAAGCTGCATTTAGCTGAACCGAAAAGCCACAAAATTGTTCATTTGGCCGAACTTTGGAATAAAACTTTCAAACTAGATGGTTCAGCCTTCACCCCCTAAAGCTCTACTGACTATGCTTAAAAATCGCGCATTGGACTTGTCGCACATTCATCGTAGTCGAATTCATTGGTCAGCTTGTTAAAAAATTAGCTAACCATTCGTAGGATTTATTCAAGACAGCGTATTCAGATCCCTTAAAGGAATGGACGAAGCGAAATCAAATATTAGTAGTAATCCCCAAAATTATGACGTAAAATCACTTTTTGATCAGCTTTAGGACAGGTCGTTTCACAAGTGCAGAGAGGCGTGAGTACTGCAATAATTCTTCACACATCGCTTTTGCTCAGACTGTTTCAGACTTGTTTTTGAACCAGAATCCACGGCTGTTGTTTTTCTTAGAACTCGGTACCCCAGTTTGTTTTACGTGCTGGTAGGACCGATTTTAAGTCACCGTGGATAGGCCTTTGCAACTAGATCTTAATTTTACCTCAGCGAGAAGAAGTGCCTTCAACTCGTAATTTATGACTGCGATTTACGAACGCCTAACCAGAACGGTGTACTTTTAACAAAGTGAGCAATTAGGAAAAAGTTCAGGAGCCCAAGGTAAACTGTCAAATATGAGTACTTGCGATGTGGAGGCAGTTAAGTCGCCTGACCATTAACCAACTGGCTAATTGTGTACTGTGAAAGGGCGATACCCCTATGAATGTGCGCAATAATATGCATTCACACATGCAGAGTCGAGCCAACCGGAGTCGTCTTTACTGTCTGTCTGGGTGGTCGGTGACCTTGGCAGAAGAAAATGATGATAGATGCCAAAAAATACTTGTATCTGCACGATAAAAATTAAATTTTTTGCCTTGCTTATGCTCATATGCACACGTATACACACGCACTTTGTGCACGTGCCACGTCGATGGTGGCACGAGCGCTTTTGCGTGCAATCGATTGGTGCGCTGCGGTGCGTGCACACAACGTACACGCACAGTAGCAGTGCAGCCAATGAGATAGTTGGATCGAGTACGCATACACACTCACGCACTATGCTATAAAACATCGTCGACGCTGTTGTTTCTCCAGTTGAATCACCTTCAATACGTGGTATTATGCGCTTGCATGCCTCTGCCTACGTTGCTCCGTGTAAGTTTCTTCTATACACTCTCCTATGCCCCGGGACCGTTGTTATACTCCATCTTCACCTCAAGCACGGCGCTGAGATTAATGTGAGTTGTGTGTCCATGCGCACAAAAGCATGCTTGAGTGTATGCACCGAACGCTGGGTAGTCGTTGCATTTCCACACTGCTGCAAGGTAGCAGCTGAAAGAGGGTGAAAATGCACCAACTATCTGAGATATCGATGCACTGAGCACCAGGATGATTTTACATACCCCCTCTTGCTCATAGGTGGTGGGTAGAAAGTGCCTTTTACAACATGCTGCCTCTATGAGATCCACTTATGTTTGTAAATGCATTTTCTGGCCCGTAACCTTGAGCAATTGAACTGCATAATTGTGAGACCTTTTCTATGTATTACAGGTCATTGACTTCACAAATGCATTTTCAAATCTACAATTTATAATGACCAGAATTTATTTTGCCTAACAATTCTTTCTCCCATTAATAGAACTAAAATGTCAGTCAAAGCTCTGGTTAGTACGCCAAAGCCCAGCAATTTTGCAATACTGAGGAAGGTAATGTAAGTCTCGGAACAGAATAAGTTGGCCTCTTAACTTTAATACCCCTATTCATTTTATTCTAATCTTTATAATTTAATTCGACGCGAATTTGTCAAATACTGCATAAATATCTATTCAATCGCCACAGTCTTAGCAATGATCATATGCTTTTTATTAGGGAACATGGACTATTTTATTTAAGGATGGAAGTGATATTGTCTTGAGGCCATCAGCACTCACCTTCGAAACTTGGCCACTTATTCCCCCCACATCATTACTGATTCATTTGACATTCGAAGATTCCGCAAGTGAATGGTCAAACACATGTTAGCTTCATAACAGCCACTTCAAGCAATCGCAGCTGTATATAAAAGTAAAATAGACAGCCCTATTCTCACTGTTTTAACACCTTTTTACATTTCACCGTAATCATTAGACACAAAGTTGAGTGCATTCCATGACTACTTTGAAGACTAGTGCACCTCAAAGTAACATTTTTTTTGAAAGGCTTCAAAAAAAATACGCAAATTGCAGCGCATGCGCTGCAGTATTCGTGTGATTTTTAATTCGATTCATCTCTTGGATTAAAACCCATGTGGAGTTTCCGCCTCCACCATCCACTGCAGGAGGCAAGTTACACCGGGGCATGCCGAACGGCAATCAGGAGCTTGTATCGCTTCGCCAATTACAATTAGACGTCAAGATTTCCATGGATTTAATCAAGCTTGGCCTAAGTTCTGATGGCGATCATTTCGCTTGGAGTGCCAACAATCGAACCTATTGCATTTATGTAAACTTAAATGCCTTTTTTACCGAAGACATATTTAGCCTTGAATTTTAAGAGACGCCAGAGCCCCTTAAACCATCTACAAATGTCTGTACTTTTAAGCCTTTATTTCGATTACCACTTTCTGTGTTTTAAATAAATTTGCTAAGCTTATTAACTTCTTGTTTGCTCTCAAGGTTAGGGTTCCACTTGTACAGATTACATGTTTTGTTCGAAGGAGCCAGTTTGTGTACGACATTGAGCGAGCATGAACTTTAAGTTGGAGTACATTACAAGTTTATCCAATGACAGTTATACCACTACAAAATATTGTTGGGATCAAAGTAAAGGCTGCAAGTCAAACTAAACAAGCCACTAATGGCTAATTTTACGAGAGTTTTGGTTATTTCATCTAAAATGCTACGAAGTCTTTACCTGATCGTATTTTGGTGTTTAATGGTGAATTGTTGCCTTGAATAACATTACGAACCAAAACAGTTAGGAAACCATGAACAACTGTGGCGATTAAAATGTTTTGTTAATGATGCTAAGTTAGTGATTGCTGAATTCGCCTGAAACTTGATAGTGAATATACGTATCATCAGTACGGCGAGGTGATATTTTGGAGTAGTTGCATGCGCTTTGAAGGATATAGCAGTGATTTTTGTTGACTTGAGCATTTCACTTCTCTAGTACTTTGTATCAGTTGTAAAAATGGAAGATCTTTTTATCAATTTGAGGATTGTTCCATGCGACAAAGCAGGCCAGGTAGGGGGGAAGAGAGCATTCTTTACTCGTAGCCAAGGTATCGGAACAATCGACCCTCGATTCCCGACTACAGTACGTAGTGTCAAGTAAATACCTAAATTTCTGCTCAAGGGTGTTCGCATACGTAAACCAAAAAATACCAGTTATATCGATGGCATTTTCGCAAGGTCTTGGTGATATGGATATTTCATTTGCCACAGATATACAGAGAGGGATCTAATGAAGACCATGATGCGATGACGTATTTGTTGTGGCACGCGTTCCATCCGAAGTCAGTTGTAGGGAATGTATATGCAATGTATAATTCTAGAAAATTGTAAGGCTACTATTTCGTTAGAAATTTGTTCTACCAGAATGGCTGATTTCAATATATTATGCCTTAGTTTTACAAGATTTACACCGTGCTCGCCTTGTGTATGTAATTCGTGCATTAACAAGCCTACCGAATGATGTGCATTTACATATGAAGATGTGGTTTCTTCTACTGTCTCGCGATTCGGTTTACTATCTGTAGCATGATTCTCTTGACTTCTGTCAACTTGTGATAAAATCCTTGCCAGGATTATTTGCGTTCCAACATTTACAGGGATAACTCGGGCACTGTGACGTAATGAAAGACACACAAATAATCAAGAATTAGTGTAAACCATCCTGTGTTTGATTCCTTCATGCAGCAGCATCGGCAATCATCTGGCCACCCGCCAGAACCAATCAAATCAGCCGCGTGTTGGAGAAAAGGCGCTAAGAGGGAAAATGGCATTCCAATTGGCCGACCATCCAATTGGAAAGGGGCAAAACCTGACGCGGGGAGAGGGAGAGAGGGGTGGAGAGACGGTGTCCTCTGCGCAGATCAAATGATAGGCTAGTGGTGAAACTAACGAATTTAAGATGCGCCAAGAATGAATATGAAAATACAGCTAAGAAGATTCCCTTAATTTATAGTTTCCAGTGATGCTTACAAACACAAATCAATGTTTTTGCTTGAAATACAACTTTTCTCCAGTTAAACCTAATATTACCATATTACTGTGATTTACGGATTAAATTATTGGACGATGTATAGTCATAAAACTCCTTTGTGGATGTCAAATAGAAGGATATATAGTAAAGTTTTTCTTAGATTTCTGTTTATCTGTCTTACTTTCCTTTGGGTTTATAACCGAGATGGCCCGATATATGGCTTAAGCGGGAACATGTGACTGAAATAAGTCAAAGAGCATTTTTAGGCTAACCAACTGTATTTCAGTCACAATTTTTGCAAAAAAACGCATTGTGTGGTGGTGTGTGACCTTGCGTCCTCAGGTGATTTGGTTGATATTAGTCTGCATTATTGTCCTCGTGTTAGTTAGAACCAGGACCTAGGCTTAGCGACACCTTAAGGTAACAGTGGTTGCAGTCAGTTGCACTTGCGTGCATTCTGCAGTGATATTAGGCACCCAAGCACACTGACGGATAAATCGCTAGAGGTGCGCGTGTGTGGGAAGCGTGAGCGCAAGATAGAGAGCATAAAGCGCACCACTTCTTGAATGATACACCCCGCATCGTGATGCCTCCTACTATCGCCACAGTCTGGGTGTGTTTATGTTAGGGCGGTTAGTGCTAAGCAGGCCTTATCTCGCTCTCTCTCCACTCGCGACTTATGCGCGTTCCGTACTGTGCTGTGCACGTGGCTTTTGACACCCAGTTTAGCTGCCAGTTGTGTAAGCATCGATCTTTACCGCGTCGACTGGTCCCTCCTTACAGGTGTCGCAAATGATGTTCATAGAACTTACGAGATCATTGCTTCTTTCTACGTACATGTTTTAGGTAAATGCTTCACAGTAGACCTAAATCGACTTCATGCAGTATCCTAATGCCTATAACTTCATCCTATTTAGACCTTAGTGCTTCAAAGTATAGCTATTCAGCCTAACAATTTTCGCCTACAGCGCTCATCTGCTTCTAGTAATGCACCATTGCAAAAAGATCGCTTTTCTAATCCTTCAGAACTTACTGTCCTGGAAAATCACTATTTAATAAACTTAACCAAGCCTCAAAAGTACAGCTAGTGGGTTTTTTGCTGATTATTGCCAGACAATCCTAAGATCCTTGGTCACAATATGAGAACACACTTAACTTGATACTTCTTGCACTTGGTGGTGAAGATATTTTTGGGAAACAACTGTCACCGCCAAAGAGGATTTGAATGATTGACATAGCAATGCAAACTAGGCTTGTTTTGCCTCCCCTTCACCATGTGTAGTTGCATTTATTACACTCTTGTGACCAAGATATCTTCTAAACTTTCGAGTGTCAACGAAACCTTATATTAATCACTGCCTTAGTAGTCGTCTTTACAAAGGAGGATTAACAAATGGCGTGTTTGTTAGCACCTTGCATCCACTCTTAACGAGCAAACCCAGCATTTTAAGATAGTGTGAGACGCCAGAAAGATAATGAAACCGCTTTGATAGAGTGATAAAAAAGACACCCTTTTTCACAAAAAAATTCACTAGTGTCATGAAAGTTTGCAGATTTCAAAAAAGGCACCAAACTAGCTAAACATTCGTTAGTTCTCTTCGACATCCGACGGCACTAAGTGTTTGACAAAATCATCAACAGGGTGCTCTTTCAGTGTACTTTACAGTCAGAACGCTGAATGGCGCTGTGCCGAAAAGATGATATTGCTATCTGTGGTAATATACTGACATGTCATTATTTAAAGCCTTATGTCTGAAGAAGAAGTCACTTATTTTAGTCTGATCAGTTGCATCCGTAAGTTTACCTATCAACTTGCACCGTAATCGCATTTAATCGGGTGAGTGTTTTGTGCTCCGAAAGCGAAGCTACTTAATAGGCAGAATTTCTGTGCGTTGGAGCGTGTGTATGTGTGGGTGCGTGAATAAGCCCCCATACCCTCATATGCCCCAGCTTAATGACCCGAATAATTAGAGCGTGAGAGTTTTCGTAAAGTTGAGAAGAGACTTTGGGAAATTTTGAGCATGGTGGGGGAAGATTTGTTACTGATTTACCTATGAAAGCTGCTACGTCAGTTGATGTTTTGCTGCTTCCGACTGATTATTGCCTCGAAAGGTAAAATTCGATCCCGGAGGTAGGTAAACGCACTTTGAAATCACAATTATATATATACGATCATCTGGAGGAAAGTAAAGCGGCTCTTCGTGTGATCGCTGTTTGTAATACTATCACCGGGATTTCATTAAAATACAAATTAAAACCGGATCGACGAGAGGGTAGGTTGATTCGTCTTGCGGTCTCAAATTCGTATCCTGGTGTCGGGAGAATGTTTGCTTGCGTTTTGCTTCTACCAATCCCTATAAGGAAGCCTCAAAGACTAAGAACCCAAACGATAATTAGCAAAATGTATTGTGTACAAAAATCTCTGATAGCCTGCATGACATGTTAATGACTCTGGTGTATTTTTCAATTTGTAATTTTATTTTTGACCAAAGTTTAGCATCCGCGTTGAATAAACAGAACATGGCAACAGCTTAGTGTATCATCCAACTATCTCTCACGCTAAGACAATTACTTCAACCCGTGGATAGTGAAAGCCGTGCAAAATGTGCTATCCCAACAGCATTTGGAGGTTAGCTCGTGGAAGTCACTTACCTAGGGATAGTAGCACTTCTCCACTTGGCCAAATGAAGCTAGTGTTGCAGTTACTACATCACAATGGCTTAGGGACGATCCCCAAATGTAGACTTCACTAATCCATGTCCATTGATGCAGAGAGAGTTATGCTCATCTCACCTCCCTGTTTATATCCTGTGGGTAGCAGTTTTCTTATTCAATTCTACACCACTTTAATTGGAAAAAAGAAACTTATGATTGGAGTTACTTATTCTCAAAAAGCGCACGTTTTCCCTATCTTTCAAAGGTGTCAATTGTTTCAACCACATGAATAATTACTAACCGGTTTGCTAAATAGAGTAAAACTAGCCAATTACAACATTTAATCATAAGGAACAAGTCCTAACACGATTAATGGAGATAGATGAAAGCCCGTCTCCATTTCAATAAATAAATTTTGCCAGATGTGGCTTTTTCCGTGTTGCCAGAGAAAAGTCTTTGATGACTAAATGGCGCTGCCGCAAACAAGGTAATTATGACGGGTCAACTCTGTTTATTTCAACTTATGAGATGCGCGAAAGTAGCGCCTCCTCGGGTGGCACTGCAATAACACGGCAATCTGACGGACAAAGTCTAGACCGCTGGATGTATTCATTGTAGCGCGTCACACCATGTAGGTATGCATGTGTGTGTTTATTTCAACACCTCTAGCCGCAACCAGCACCCCAAACACAAACAGCAAACACGTTGTGTGCGTGTGTGTGCGCGCACGTCGATTGATTGATTGAGGAGCGCTCGAGTGCGCACGTGCGCGCAGTTGTGCGGCAAAGCGTGCACAGTGAGACCACTCGCCACCCGCGCTGCGGAGGAGTGCCAAGTGAATGCGTGCGTATCAACAAATATATTTAATTAGAACATATTCGAAAGTAATGCAATTATTTGTGCTTCCAGCTTGAATGAGCCCTTCTGTCATCAGGCCCTAGAAGGAACGCCATGAAAACAGTCTAGTACGAATTTCCTTTAGCGAAAGTTAACTTTACTATCTGTTTCAGACTCTGCTCGATCGTCTAAAGAGGCAAAAAAACCTAGGTAAATCACCTTCAAACAGTCACGTCTACCAAAGAAGGCTTTCAGGTTCAGTTTATGGACATTAATATGTGAAAATCTGCATTAAGTAATCCGATCTATGCTATATGGTAGTTAATATCATCTGCCTGACCTGGGTATTAGCTTAAGAGGTTTTGCTGAGCCTTTATGAGCGCCTCGGCATTGTTTGAGTAGTATAGTGACAGCACAGGAACATAGTGAGGCAAGATATCTCACTGATTTGAACGATCCTTGCATATGAAGCCGTCCTCGGCTCTGAATATCAATCCCTCGGGAGTATCTGCTAGCCTACCCTACACATAGCTTCTGTGATTTAAGGGATCTAAAAACGCCTCAAACAGAACTGACATTCTGGCGATTAGTCAAAACAGCTTTAATGAAAGTTATCTTTATTAAAACAGCACGTCGTAAATTCATACCTTCATTACCTTTACACAGTCACATTACAAATCAGGAATGGTCAGTATAATTGATCCTCCCGATTTCCCATTTCTCTTTGAGAATTTGTTTAATTGAAAGAGAATAACTTATTATTTATGAACTGAGTCCATCTTCAGCCAGATTTACGGTTACAACGTCCAATATGAGCCTTTTCCTGTGGGACAGGTCTTTGGACTGAATCCTCGGTAAGGCTGGCAGATGTGACAGAAGCAGTGAATTGTAGCTTTAATTGAATGCCTTAAGTGGAATCCCTCTTGTGGAGCGTGTGGCGCATACTGCTCCACCCATGCCAATATTTCTGTGCTTCACTTGACCAAATACACAAACGGCTTAAGACTGCTTGATACTTCGCATTGTTTACAGGATGATTTTAAATGGAACTTGTGTTACCGCATCCTCGCAGCTGTTGGAAGCTTTATCGATAGACCGCTTCACATTACTGAAGGCAAATCAGTCAGAGGGAATTCGTTATGCACCATAAACGAGAGTGCTCAACAAAATCTTATCCTCAAAGAAGGACGAAGTTAATATGTAGAGTGGTGCTGACTGTAGAAAGGAGAAAAATTAAACAAAGAAAAAGTCCTGGAGAGTGGGTTTTTTTCACCTTTACTATTTGTTCCACAAAATTTGCTTCAGAGTATGCACATTGATACACTTTTGAATATGGAATTCCAGCGGAATTTAATAGCAAAGAGAGTGTATTGCTTCAAGAGGAGCAAATAAACAAAGCAGCGTCAATGCCTAGAAGGTGATTTCCTACCCAGAACCGGTTGCGAGGTATCCTATGCCTGTATTTTCAAAATTTTGCTCTATCCAAAAAGACCTTTTTAAGAATTCACCAAATGGCTGCCCATACTAGACCATTTCAACACCCCGGGTCCTCACGTATCCTTTACCAAGGTGCGAATATCACATATACACAACTGATTTCGATCGCTAGGAATAAAACTTCATGCAGTTGATTTCTCAAATGGCATTTTTGCAAGTAGCTCCTTATTTTCAATCGTTTTCAAACAGCAGAACCTAAATAAAGAGATTCGCGATTGGACCGTTGACATAACCTAATGGTGACCTTACACCGTGAGTGTTGTCTGTGTGTACAAATTTCATCATATGGGTCCAGAGGCTAGCCGAGGGTTCAAGAATAATGCAAAAAAACTCAGTATTTCTTTAAAGCGTTGAATAAGAACAAAGTTGCTGCACATCAGTGACAATGTACAAAGGTGAAGGAGAAGGGTTAGAAGACGGAGGCTTGAAAGACGTGGTTAGAATACCGCATCACCGAAGTGTAGGCTCAACATGATATACCAATACCAGAATGCTGTAAAATAATCAGAACATTGAGCCAATTTTAAGCTTTTGGTAGACCTGCTTTCCTGTGAATAAGGAACTCTGTGCTTCAGGCTACTGAGAGTTTTCTGCATTCACAAGTGGTTGATCGACTTGCCAGCAGTATGGTTTGAAGGGGTATAAATTGCGAATGCAAGACAGTCACTAAGCCGCCCAGATGGAGGATACACACACACATACGAAGCGGGTGAGAGTGTGCGTGTGCATGAGAGTAAGAAGGCGTTTTACAAAATAACGGCTTTATAAGAGGCTACGCCCAAAGCGAATGACTATTATGCTAAAGTAAAGTACCTACTTCCAATCATATTCATCTTAAAGGAACAAAACTTACAAATTATGTTTAACACATTTGTCTTCACCCGCCTCTGCCAACCTAGACGAGTTTGGCAAGTTGCTGCATTTCCGTTCCGATAAATACCATTAATTTGCCCCACCGAGGCAGATTAAAGCGTCAGTTCATAATTTTTACCAGGGATAGAAGTCACTGAGAGAAACTAGAAAGAAGTTCTCTATTATGCAGGATCTTGACAAATTGGGATGGGTACTTGCCCAGCTATTTTGACTTTATTTTGACCATGACCTTATGCGCAACGCGGGCCGCAAGGTATCGCGGAAGATCAGACGAGGGAGGAGGTGGCAAGTGGAGATGGAGTTGTGGTACAAAGCCAAAACCGATCCAGTTGGTGTGTTGCTGTGCGCAAGCTTACTGTTCGGGGTTTGACTTTACTGCAGTTAGGCAGTGATGGTTGCATGATCTGAAGCTTGCGAGAGTGGTAAAATAGCTTCATTGCAACTCAGCGATGTCAAAATAACAGCAATAAAGTAGCAGCAATGGTAGATGAGAATTTGTCCGAAATATTTAATGTCATTTTTGGTTCCACTACAGCTGGTGAGTTGAGAAATTTATGCAGTTTGGGATTTATTATTGGAGTTTGGGTTTCTAAATGTTGGTGCCGCGTGTACACGGGCTTTGTTGAAATGCTGTAAGGTAGTGTATCAATATCGCATGCGCATAAAGCTTTCCTCTCTTATGTACAACGGGCCTCGTTACACAAGTCTGCCGTTGTACATATGCAAGGATGATTGAGCACGTCTTTTGCGGTCATACAATGCGAAATTCTGAAGCTTTCAGGCTCCAAGTGATAATGGAAACACTAAGTAAATGCTTCCCACTTTAGCGGTACCTGGAGGATTTCGCCTTTTATTTATTCATTTTCTTGTTGTGAGTTTTATACTCTTCGGTGCACCCATAAGGAATTTGAAAGATAACTGTAATGAAGACAATTTTGTGTATTCAGTGGATTATTACAACAACATTGCTTATTTCAAGTCAAAACTTTGCTCAGATTATCATTCAAGGATTTAACTATTGCTTTACCCGTTTGTATTGACTAACACCTAGTGACTTATCATACAAGCATTTCAAACGGAAATCATAACTTCGTCCTTATTCCAAACTTTGCATTCAAATATTAAACAGTTGGAAAATTCTTTTGTAGCATTTTTGCACCTTTACTGACGGCAACCTACATGCAATTTCTAAAGTCTACTGGACATGTTAAATAATTTATAACCTAAAAACAGTACCAATAAAAGATTTTACCAAATATCTACCAGCGTATAAATAGGATCTGAAACATAGGTGCAATGATTAGCTTATTTTTAAGGAGTTTTTTAAAATTAAAAAGTAGATATTTTTGATGGCAAACTGTTGGAAAAATTGCAAAAATCATTGGAATTTAAACAGGGTTTTATTTATTGAGAATGCTTTGAATGTGAAAAATAAATCCAGTACTCACATTGAAATTTCTTTTAATCACTCAAATGCAGCGATTTTAGAGTTGGCTAACCAATACATACAGTGTGGGTTTGTGCGGCAAAATGAATAAGCGTGCATAGCAATGGCGGGAGTTTGAACTAGGTGTCAAACATTCTTCTCTGGACTTTTGATCTACCTGAAAATGCATTATGTACCCCTATTAGTGTCTTTCTGTCCCAAGCCTTGATTAGCACTATCTATACTTGTTGTTCAAGCAATATGAGCTCCTTCCTAGTTTTTCAAATTTAGTTCAAAATAGGTGAAATGTGCTTTTCCCTTTCACTTTGATTTGGCGTTAGGATTACATCCTAGCTTTTACTCATATGGGACTAGTTCTTCAATACTTGCGTGATTAAAGTCTATTTAATTCGATATTTCGTTAATTCTGAGAGATTGGTTAGTTATTTGTTTTCTTTAATTTTTTTGCTTAAACCAGGGCGATGAGATTTTTAAGCTTGATAAGCAATGCGCTCCGGCTAAAAACGAGGAATTTGTTGCTGACAAGACATGGTTATGCTCTGCTATGTATGAATGTTCTACTTATCGTAAGTCGTTTTTTAAGCTTTATCGTCAGATTTATACACTGTTTGACTTATTTATCTGGATATGCAGACGAGTTTCGCGACATCCTTACAACTCGCTTTCTATAAATGATGAGTTTTCGAGAATCCGTTACCTCGTTGTCGGTCCCGCATTTGCTGCTCTCCTCGAAAAGTGCCATTCAATACGTTTCTTTTTCTCATGGGTAGGGATAAAGATCATGAATTACTTTTCACCCATCTTGCCCACACAGCAAGGCCGCGTAATTTTTGTACTTGCGCTATTTTCGCTTGGAGATGCAAGCTTTCGCTGGAGTAGTCCCAAGCGCAGATACGTTTTTTCTGCATTCAATGCTGCTTGCATGCTTCCAGATAATATGAAAGCATCCTTGATGAGGGATTTCAATTGCAGCTCTATTGGTTATGCAGGTGGGGAAATGTTTAATCTTCTCAACAATCTCACTGACCACTGTATCCAAATCGTATGTATTCAATGCTGTCATTAAATACGTCTTAGGAAGGCAATATTTCCTCTGGGCCACCTTATTGTGCCGAAAATGTGGTCGAATCTTTTTCGTCCGGGATGTACACGGAAGACTTATTTATTCTAGTTGGAGGCGTTTTGCAGGTACTTCACTTTTACTGTAACCACCAACATCATAGATGTCAGTTGTCTATATGACAGCTGGAGAACTTTACCGACTCCGATAGGTTATATTTAAATGACCTGGTGTGGCGCAAACATGGATATTTCGTGAGGCGAATATCCTTTTTTCTTCCCCTGGTCCTGTTACTCTACACTTCATTTCATTTATAAACATATTGTAAAAAATTCTTGGTTTTTGCACAGTCTGCTTAGTGTAATTAAAATGTTCGATTTTAACACCCGCATGGTCCATAAGTGAGAATACTTGTCCTTTGTGTTTTAACAGAACGATGTTACTTCCAGGTTTACTTGCTCTTAGTGAATTTGTTGATCTGCGCGCCTATTTAGTCAAGGCCTAATATAATACCTTAGGGCCTGTTCTTTTAAAGTTACATTTAGGCCTAACCGAATTGGTTTCCAAAGGAAGACTAGTCTAAACCTTTGCTTCAATATTAGAACAAAGGCAATAATGCCTATATGTAACTTGACTATGGAGTTTTGTCAGGAATCACCCCGATAGCTAAACGTATTTCCTCCGCACTCCTTGATTCTTATTTGGCTGGTATCGAACAATCGAATTGCCCATAGATCAGAGCGCGATATGCATTTCATTCACTGTAGCGGAACAGAGTCTCAAACGAGGTCTAGAAATCGCGGACGCGTTCAAGTTTTATGTGGCCGAGGGGATGTTCGAGATTTGCTTTCACGTTCAGCTCCATCAATAAAGTTGTCTACGTATAGAGTCACAAAATCTCACCCCCATCTAGATTCTTGGGAAGCAATTTCGGGCTAGGGCTCAATGTGTGTTAAATCCGCCTTTTGTCCGCAAGCAATTCACGAACTGGAACGAAATCTATTCTTGATGACAGTAGAATGGAGTGTTGACGTAATTTGGCTTCCTCATTTTCTAACCGAGGTAACCGGGTTTATGTGCCACTTATTAGGCACTATTCGACAGCAAAACCTTTCCTATAGGGGCACAAAGCTGATGGACCAACTCATGTTTCACAAATGGCGATTTTTGCTTAACATTAAATTCTATTATACAGGATGCAGTGACCAGTTTACCACTCTTCGAACTTCTGACATTTTCAGATATTTAATACCACTGTTTTAGTCTGGACGCACTTCTGTCGGAATTTGTGTTGCAGTTTTCAGGACCGCAAAGGCAGTCGCCCACGACTTTGCATTAGCCTCCGCGTGTTCGAATGAAAGGTCAAACTGGTGGAACCGGCCAAAATCGAACTCAACTTGGCGCACCACCCCTCGGGCTGCCTGAGTTCTTTCAGTCTGAGATGAGTAAAATATTTCCACCACTGAAGATGAATGAATGATGATCTTGAAGCTCACATAGTGGGTCTATATTCATCTTTTTACTTGATATTATCAAAATTACTTCTCTTATACCAAGGGGCTGCAAAGAACACTTATGAAATAAAGCAATTAAACGGATGGAACGACAAGAAAATGGCAGTTCGTAAAGCGGCCAAAGTTGTCACCGCGAAAGTAGTTGTAACCTCAACGAATATATGAATGCAAATTTTATGTTATTTGAGGTGAGGTTTTAATAAAGGTGCACGATGTAGATGTTTCATTTCAATTTGCCCCGCACAACGTGAACTATATCAGTGCTTTGCAAGAATCGCCAATATTTTCGTGTTGGTCGGATTTTCTATAGATAGCTTGTCAGGAGGATGTTATTTATGGAATTCTCAGTGGGTACTTTGTGTTTAGCGTTCCATGAATCTGAGAATAAGAATCGTACTGACGTATCGATGAAGGACGTATGCTTGCTGATAGTGGAATGTTCCCTATTGAATTATGCCGGCACTTCCGCTTGAAAGCGCAGTCTCTCCGGATATGCTTACGGCCTCTTGACTCTTCTGAACGTCAGTAATATAATCTCTCATACTGGCATATTTTGTTACGACCTCAGGGAAGCCTCGAGATGTTACATTAGTAACAGTAGAAAGACATCCCAATCCAAAAGGTTGAATGTCCTAACCCCTTTAAGTCATCGCCTAGCTGTGACTTCCTTGAAAACCCGAAATGCAACACCGTCATTGGGTGTCTCACGTTTCCGATAATATGTCAGGAAACCCTGGCTTGCCATATTGTAGAGCAAATAATGGCATAAGTCTCACAGGTCGCTCGGACTAAAATTACCTTAAAGCAAACTCAGTTAAACATTATTCTATTCTATTCCTAGAGAGTAAGTTGAAGAAAATGCGTCACGGTTATAATGCAATACGTAGGCTGCTTTTCTAACTT